TTTTCTTTGGTTCAACTTGGACGTGCACGGGGATATGCGCTCGCCGGCAGCCACAAGTGTTCCGATTTCCCCAAAACCAGAACTAAGGGTATAGCAAAGATAGGGTATAGCAAAGATAGCTCTGCTTCGAAACGGGAGCTGAGCTATCTCTTTGCGTCCAACCCCCCCCCCCAATAATTCCTATTTATTAGATTTTACAACATAGTCCATTAATTTCAATTTCAATGATTTTAATAGTGCATGAATGCGACAGGGCGTGTCAATGTGATGGAGTGAGGTTGAATGCGGCCTCATTCATGGTCAGTGACAGTACAACCACAACTGTTTGGCTCACAACCAACGCGGCCGCCGCTGGGCGCCAGTCCACACCCTGACACAACCGCCGCATTGAACACTGCTTGAAACAACATGAAGAGATAGTTCAAAAGACACAACTTGAAGAGTTTTCCCTCATGTGTGGGAGTATTCGCTTAAAAAGTAAAATTGATAGAAAGTGGAGTAGTGTAGTGAGCATACCGCGTCTTCTGAAAATAAGTTGAGCAGTGCTAGGGGGTGCTGAAATTTGCATCAAACAGCAGTAGCGCGCTGGTGCTCAAGGGAAAAAGGTTAAAAAAAAATACAAGTTGCTGAGCTAGTCTCGACAGGAGGACTGTTGGCCTGTCTTTCACTATATTTCACTTACTGACAAGCTACCGATTATCCAATCATCTAAGTCAGTTCGAACTCTCTGGAAATCCCACTCCGCTTCGAACTTGGGCTAGACCACTGAATATTTTGAAAGTATCGGGTGTAGCACTTCAACGGTTCTTTATTCGGTATTGGCCGAAGGTGTTCATAACCGCGCGTGATCCGAGTGGTCGTTCAACTTGGAACTTCGAGACTGATAAGAGCGAAGATACAATGATGGGAGAGGGAAGTGAAACGTGGGAGGTAACAATGCCCACCAATGTCAGCCTGCTTGCACATAGAATCGAGAAAACTCATCTATGAAGTGCACGTGACCCGTACCACGGATATCTTGGCAATAATGCTGCAAAGCGGAAAATGGCAATGGGTGCTAGGGCATGCCATGCTGGGTGTGACATGGCGCCATCTTCGTTCTCCTCCAGCTGTAGGAGAACAGGATTGACGCAACCATATACCACTCTCCCTCGATTGCGCCCAGCATCAGCCGTAAGACTAACGTGGTGTGTTGAGGAGCTTGAGTTTGCCAGGTGTCGAGTCCGATCTGGACCCAGGACGCGTGCGTTTGAGAGCCACCTTTTCCATTACGCCACCTCAGTGCTAGCATGCACATATTTCGTCCACACATCTCGTTAAGCTTTCCGCAGGCACTTCGGGCCAGTGTGTGCGTTCCCGGGAATGCGGGCGGGGCCCAGCTGGCTAGGCGTGCACAATGGCCGCCATCATGGCTTTTATCTTCCAGCTGCAGTCCATACAACACTTGCAATGCCATTAACCAGGATCCCTTTACCCGTATCCTCTTGCCACAGCAAGCTTCATGTTCTGGGATGCCATGCGTATTGGCGTTCGATAAAATCTCGTCCGACGAGATTGAACTGATCCACCTGAATGTTGTAAAAAAGAATGCTCTGGTTCATAGTGAGATTGTTCACGTCGCCTCCAGGTTTGTAGGGAATCACGACTCTATGGTGCTGCGGGGAATCCTGCGACCTTGGTACGCTTTGCTAGAGAATCCTGAGTATGCGGCCTATCTCTCCTGGTCTTTTTCTAGCTGGAGTCCGCCGCAAACCAAAGACGAGCGTTCGCCCGCGCAACTTCAAAACCGGATCGGAGGGGTGGATCGAATTATCGATTTGATCTACCTGAATCGGCAGGGCGCAAGAATCGGACGTTCCCGTTATTAGCTTGGTCTGGCTGCTGGCTGGCGGAGAGTGCCTGCAATTTCTCAGTTGTTTCAACGCGTAGGTGGTGCAGATTGCTAGCGCAGTAAAGGACCATTCAACAAGTGTACAGCAGCACAGGCCATCAAACGACGTCGCATGTTTGGTATGTACTGTCCACAAACATGGTTTTGAGCGTCTCTCCTTTCTTTATCCTACACTAGTAGGCCTAAAGCCGTTGACAAACTGATAGTGGTCCTGAAACCAGTTGGTCAGCCTGCCAGCGACCGCAACCCCTGAAATTGGTGTGAATTCCCTGTCGGTCCCTCGTGCGATTGATCAGATCACACAGAGGAGTCGATTTCCTGTCGGTTGGAGATGCGCGGGTATTGCGCGGGGACTCGCTCGACAGCCGCAGTTGCTCTGATTTTGCCAAGACGAATGGTAAGCGAGTATTGCGCCCAGCCAAGATATTTTAGCAAACATGGGATAACTATAAGCCGTGGTGGACTCTCGGAACCTCATAGCTCCATGATTGCTATGAAACCTAGAACATCCGAGTAAAACCGGAATTTAGTTATTTGATTGAAGGAGGGAACTGTTTCAGAATCTGCAGTACTGTGTGAGAGCTGCGGCGACAAAGGTATTCAGAATGTTATCACAAGAATGCTGAGTTGTGGGCAAAAGTCGTGCCCCAGGCGGGAGTCGAACCCGCACCTCACGCTTTCCGGGCGAGTGCGCTATCCGTTACGCGTAACTACTGCGGCGTTAAACAGCAGTTATCATAACAAAACAGTATTGCAGACTGTATTGCACGCACAGCAAATGCACAAGTATTTCGTTAAACCGACGCAGAAATGCTGGAATAAGAAGAGTCAACCAACTAGACTATACCTTGCTACCTAGTTGCTGCGCTGCACGACAACTCGGACCTCTGAAGCAGCACACGTTCATAAAAAACCCTCCAGGCGACGCTCTCTCTCCCATTCGGGACTGCTCACATTTTCCCATCGATTTTCGCCTTCTTTCAAAGTTGTATCAAAAGAAACCATAGTAGCTATGTCTAGCCGTATGACGACAATAAAGAATGAAGGACAAGAAGGGTGTTGTCAGGTTTCTCCCGCATGCGTCCCCTCCTGTCCCTGTGGAACCGTGGAGGGTCGTCAGCGGCGAGAGTCTCGGTGCAAGCAGCGTTCGGTGCACCACATTTGCACAGCATTTCGCTGATTTGACATGGGAATGCTGAGTTAGGCCAGGTCAACAATCATGGAGATGTTATGTACGCCAAGGCTTGAAGGGCAACTCAGAGTCACCGCCCATTCAATTGTTAACCCCTCGCTAATTCCACTGTTCGAAAAATCTGCTCACATATCTTCAACAATTTGTCGTTCTCCGAATCCTTTAATGCAAACAGTATAGAAAGTATGACTGGTGGAATGCGCTGTGTACGTTCAGGCATCTTTCCAAAGCCGTTCAATGAGGAAGGCTTGTGCTCAAGAATGCCAACCATTAGAGAAGCTCTTACCAGCTGTTATCTTAAAAGACTCTACCCGCGAATTAAGTTATCCTATGTTTGCTGAAAATAACTTGAGTAGACGCAATTCTCGCTTACTATTAGTCTTGGTCTTGGCGAAATCGGAGCACACTGCGACTGTCGATGAACGCTTTCCCGGCACGGAACTGGTTACCGTTGGCGTGTTGGACAACACGACAACAATAGTGTCAAGATGAAAATATCTCCCCAGAAGCATAGACTCCTTCAGGTTAAGTTGAAGCATGCAGCCACGCCTACCCGATCTCAGGGATTTCGGGTATAAGTAAGACGAAACGACTCATTGAAAGGACATCTCACAATGGAAAGGCGTAGGAGGTAGGTGCTAGCTACATAGCTCAATGTGTAGAATAAAGCCAAAAAGAACTGAAATGAAGTTAGAAACCCTCACCAGTTGTGCAAGTGCCTTGCGTCTCGAGGAGTTTCTCTAGAATTTCTGGCAATCATGTGATCAAATCGATGGGGCTTTCGATGGATCACAGTTGAAGATGTGAGGAGTTTCTCTTCAATTATTTTAACTTTATGTTGTTTTTAGTCCTCATGCTAACGCCGAGAGGAGCGAGCGGGCGGGGTCTCATGCAAATGGGCGGTTGTGAGACGCGTCAGTGGCCCCTGGCGCACTTGCAACACCAAAGTGATGCACACTATGCCGCTGTGAAACCGTGCTCCATTAGTGGGAAAGCTCTCACATTTCAGGTGCCTTGAAGTGCAAGATATCCGGTGGTATTAAAATCCACTATGTCCATCGAATGAAAACAATTATGGTTACAGAAAGAGACCATTTGCGGCCACTCAAGTGGACACTGAACAACTTTCTATTCCGCCTCAGCTACTACCTGAGGAGTCAAGATAATGAGCAGTTGGGGATACCGAATGGCACTTGGGGAAGCCTGTACAGGCTACCTTGTTAAGACGTGTGAAATCATGTAAACAATGTAACCAAAATAGCTCACTTGTGTTATTTCGCAGCCTCACACGAATTCACAGGTGTCGCCAAAATGAGACTTGTTGGTCGACATAAAGTAGCAAAAGGATCTACTGAAAGTGCAAATGCCCCTTCCAAATCAAACAGCTTAGGAAAGCACTGAAGAGCTTCTGGGAATTCATCTACAATTGAAGGAGTGATCAATTTTTGGTGAAAATTCCCTCTAATCCCCCTCATCCTGAACTGTCTTCACTGGGTCATCTACTGCCAGTAAAGCACTACCTCATGACTTCACTGCCTATCCAGCCAACACTACACTGAACCAACATCCAAGCTGGATACAAGTGACATTGCGGATGATCTAGTTTACCTCGCTGCGGACGAGGGGCGTGTCCGACGGGTGAGCTGGCGCGGTGCCAGACTCCTTCTCCACAAGTTGTTGAAGTGAGCAAGTGACAAGACTGTATCTTATCCCTCGTACCACTCGTTTTCTACCAACTACTGTCGCATAACCGTTTGAACAACTGGCAGAGAACGGGTTCGGTGCCGTGACACACTTACACTGCCTGACACACCCGTTCACCTGCAGCGAACTAGAGTATATGTAGACATTTTATACTAGACACAAGAAGAACCAACCAAAAGGCGGCTTTTCAGCATAGCCAATCGAGAATGATAATCAGGGAGACCGACATAAATCTTCTTTTCGAATCTGAAATCAACAAAGACAGTCAGGCAGTATTCTCCATAACGATTAGCTCTGGCTTGTGTTACAGCTCCTAGCGCACAGTTGCCAGCTCGCTTTCGATTTCCAGCCTAACCAACACTTACGTGTCGGCCACCCCAGAAACCCATACGTATACGAAAAGATTTACTGTTCTCTCATTAGCAAGTAACAGACCTTCTCACCTTCTCATGAATGCGGGATCGAGATCCCACGGGCAATTGGTGGCACACACTAAAACGACCTTTGAAGTAGACTGAAGGCGTTGTATCTGCACAAGGAGTTCTGTCTGAAAGTAGAGGAGTACACTTCTGCCCAGGTGTGCGCGGCATTGGTGCTTGAAGGTTGCCATTGCTTACTGTTGATATCGCCGCAATCAGTGGGACGGTGTCAAGAGGCATGGAAGAAGAGCACCCACCGCGTTTTCGCCAGTGGTCGTTTTTTTCCTGAATCGATACTATCTCGTCTCTATTGTGGGAAAAGGCAACCCTAGGTGGGCTCATTTCGTCCCTCGTGACACCGCCCCGACTGACTACGATCATATAAACTACATATGCCAGCCCGCTGTCCGCAACTGCAGTATCCGCATAGGTAAACGATGTGCATACCGCACGTTGCAGATCTGCGTTGCCCGCAGTGTTAGCTATTGCGCTGGAGGCTTGCGAGTATGGGGGTTACCGGCTTGCCCTATGTACACAAGTCGAAGAGCCGGAAAGAACTTTGTGTTTCAAGAAAAAAAGAAAAAAAAAGAAAGAAAAAGAGTCTAGGAGCATTACGCTTTCATGGAATCGGAGCACACTAATACTCAACAGTGGGAAGATCACGTAATCCACCCACCTTTACGCGACGGTTAGCGTCATCCTCAGAAGAAGACCTTGTTCTACAAAGGCTGTCTACTTCATCGATGAATGATTATGCGTGTGTACAACAATCAATGACAGTGAAAATGATTGATTCAAGAGAAGATTTATATAAGGCAGAATTCATACTCCGCGATGACCGTGTCAGCGCGCTGCTATTATAAGAGCGCTCCGATGCTAGAGTCGGGAAAGCCACCATGAACGGGTATCGCTTTGTGCCGGCCCCTACTGCTCAGAAAGCGCATACATATGTACTTACCAGGCAAGTGCCCGTCGATCGCAGACACACTGGAGTAGAAATCGATACCCCCTATATTCTCTCCGATCTCCCATACTCTCTCAGGCAGTAAGCGTCCGGCCGTGTCATCGCGCTTATAACGCTTTACAAGTGTCGACGGCCGGCGGTATCGCGAAGTCTTCGAACGCTACCTGACAATCTTGTCGAATAGTATACAGATCGACTTTCGAGTTTGTCTACCCACTTCACCCTGCACTCATGTTAATCCCCCCGACCCCAAACGGTAAAAAATGCGTGAAATCTGCGAAAAAGGAGAATCCGTAATTCAGGAGAACGCACAATCCGACAGAGTCCATGATCCGAGAGAATTTTTTAGGGCAAAGAGACAGTCGGCTTCCATCTCGAAATTCTTTTCGATAATGCTCCTGAGCGGTCTACCCTTTCGCAGATTAGGTTAGCAATGAAGCAAAAAATTATCTTACGAAGTCCTCACAAACAATAACATCAATACGAACGCACTTTTCTTGAGGGCAACGGCATGGTCGAAAAGTTCGCGAATAAGGCGCTCTGACTGGCCACTCCATGTGGATATGAGATCCGATGACGACACCTAGAGGTGAATTTTCATCTGGAATTCCCGGTTGCTTGCTCAGAGTAAGAAATAGTATGAATATCTTGCACCTGATACAGTTGCGAATTTATTTCCCGCACAATGGCCTGGGCGAGTGCAGACTTGCCTGAAAGCGGTAATATGACTAAAGTAGAATGTAGTACGAGAATTCATGAAAGAGCGACATGAAGGGAAGATCTCTCGAAATATCCGACTAAACGATACTCAAACCTTTACGAACCCCATTTGTTTGTTGGTGTCGTTGTAATTGTTCATAACACAGACCCTGTATGGTGCTAATTAACAAAAA